CCTGCGAGATTCCCCTCCCTCCCCCACCCCGCTCCACTCCGGCCTCTCCGCTCTCCCACAACCACTACCACCACCGCTGCTCCGCCCCCCTCCTCCCGGGAAGATGGCCGCGGCGGCGCTGGCGAACGGGGACGTGCGCGCCGGCGGCGGGGGCGCGGTGCCGCGGCCGACGAACCCGATGGTCACGCCCCTGCTCACCGACCTCTACCAGTTCTCCATGGCCTACGCCTACTGGAAGGCCGGCAAGCACCTCGACCGCGCCGTGTAAGCGCCCTCAAACTCATCCAACCCCAGCTAGCTCTACTGTATGCGCGCCGTTTGCTGTCGAGCTCCGCGGCGGAGTGACGGTTGAGGAGCAGTGGGCCGAATCAGGCGCGGGGGAGGCCCAGTTTGCTGCTGAAGTTGAGGATCTGTTCTGTGCGTCCGTGTCCCGGATTCGAGCTCCGGGAGCTTTCGTGCAGTCAAATTTGGACCCATGTGATGTCTGTCTGTTAATTCTGTTAGCGAGTCAAGTGTTCCATTTAAGGGACTATTAGGTTCGATGTATAAAACTTGTGTGGTGGATATTTTGGCGGTTGCTCCGTTATTGCGGATTGGCGGTCGTTCTTATTGGGAGAAATAAATAAACCGTGTTTGATGTAGCCTGAGCAGAATCTAAGACGAAAACTTATGCTGATGGAATATATGTGGAGATTCAGTGATACCCACCATTGATAAAAGCAAGCAGTAAACCTAGTAACAACCTTGCTAGCCAATTTTAAAGACAATGTAAATAGTCTATACCAAGCAATTGCACGCACACGTTACAAGCGTACTGTTTCTGGAGGTTATATCAAGCATAGCTGCAGTGTTAATTAGGACCATATGGATGAGGCCAGCCATGTGCACCAAGGCAGACAGTTTCTCTGTATCCCCTGCCTGGAAATGCGAGATTCTTTTACAGGCGTTCTTCTACCTGTCATTCTTCTGATTGAATTATCATGCTCTTATGCTTGTTGATGTTTATTGTGAGCCACTGTTTTCAGCTTTGATCTTTACTTCCGGAAGAGCCCCTTTGCTGGTGAGTTCACCGTCTTTGGCGGCCTTGAAGAGTGTATACGGTTTATTGCCAACTTCAAGTTCAAAGAAGAGGAAATCAATTTTCTGCGGACTGCACTGCCTACATGTGAGGTAGGATTATTGGAATGCCGGTGTTATAGAAAACATGTGGATCATTTTATGGGAATCCTGCACTCTATCCAGATCATGCTCATGCTCATGTATGAATGGGTTTAGTTGAGTTGAATGCTCATACAAGTGGGAGGATCAGGGTAGTGGGTACTAAAGGGATCCTTCTAGATGCCCCCTGAACCGATCCACCATCCAAAATGCCAATGAGCAAACAAAATCCACAATATAATTTTAGTTGTCACTCTTAAGTAGACTCATTCTTGTTTAGATAATCACTTTCATCTTTGTGTGCAACTAAACCTGTATGCTTACTTTTATTTTGGTAGGATGGCTTCTTTGAGTACCTCAGTTCGATTGACTGCTCAGATGTTGAGGTTTATGCCATCCCTGAGGGTTCTGCTGTGTTCCCTAAGGTTCCGCTGATGATAATCGAAGGACCAGTTGCGGTAAGTACCAGGAGCTGGTTAGGAAAAAAATACTATAGTTGTTGTATTTACCTTTTTGTTTACTTTTGCCTTCTAATTTTGGTCCCAGGTTGTTCAACTTCTTGAAACTCCATTTTTAAGTCTGGTGAACTATGCTTCGTTGGTTACTACAAATGCTGCAAGGCACCGCCTTGTAGCAGGAAAGCCAAAGAATTTACTTGAATTTGGACTTCGACGGGCTCAAGTGGGTCTTACTTTGTTTCATTTTGCTTCTTTTGATTCATTATCCTTAACATGGACTTGTGAGCACACGTCTATCAGGGGCCGGATGGAGGAATCAGTGCATCAAGATATTCTTATATGGGAGGATTTGATGCAACAAGGTATGATCTGCTCACACAATGATCATAATATGTACCTTTACAATTTTCCCATAGTCTCTTTCTATCTGCCTTCAAACTTTTTTGTTATGTCTTCATAGGCGATATATTTTTGGGTTTCTTCTGCTACTGATGCAGACTATTGTTAACTCTCTAGATTAGGATCACATGGTTTCTTGAACTGGACTATAAAAAAAACTATGTTAAGTCATCATTAGATGATAAATATTCTTACTCAATACTTGAACATGTGAACCAACTTGAAGTTATACCGAAGGCCGTACAATGCTTATCCAAACAGATATTTATCATAATAAGCAATAACCTGACATTCCTACCCGGGCAGCAATGTTGCAGCAGGAAGGTTGTTCGGGATACCAATACGTGGGACTCACTCACATGCATTTGTGAGCTCTTTCCTGGTTAGTAGTTACTTTCAAGTCTTGCTATGCTTATGAAAAAAATTGCTGGTGTTTGGGACTTGCTTCAACTTTGTTGTTTAATTGTTGAAATATCATTCCTGTCCAGGAAAGAAACATCTGCCATGTTCTAATAATTCTTCATGGATAGGCTTGATGTTCTCCAGAATGTATCCGACATAGATTGTGTTTATTGCCATTCATCTAGCACAAGCTAGCTTCTTCCTCTAGTTCCCCTCTTTTCATCTTGCGCAATTCCAGTTTGGACCAACTATTTTATACTTCGAGGAAGGATCTATCCAGATATAGAGTACGCATTTGGGCCAAAATTTGCTAACCAGTTGCACTTGTATTGAATACATAGATGAACATAAATCATTCATCAATCTGTTGATATTAGTCAATCCCTTTGACATTGATATTCAAATGCAAATAGTGAAAAAAAGTATATATATTTGGTGAGCAAAGCTAAGCGTATGATTATCAAATACTCCCTCTGTTCCATATTAGTTGTCGCTGAAGTAAATGTATCTAGACGTATTTCAGTGCTAGATACATCCGTTTGAGCGACAACAAGTATGGGACAGGGGAAGTAGTTAATAATAGCATCTGGCTTGTATGAGCAAAAATCTAAGTCACTTAATTTTCACCCAGTTAAGACACAATAGATCTGACCATTTAAAAAAGAAACCCATCAGGTAAATGTACAAGATGCAATATGTTTTACATCATGAACCTTGCAACTTTCATTAAATTTGTTTGATCCTGAATTTCGTCAAAATTTTTTTTTTGGGTGAGAACTAAATCTCTTTTATACCAGGGGTCTTCTTTGCTAATGTATTCGTTGACTGTAGGGTCTTGATGAAATCATTGACAAAGCACTTTCTAGCTCTGATGGTTCGAACAAATGTGAAAATTTTGTCTCTCTAGTGCAGAATTGGCTGGTTAAGATTCAGGTGTGATAAAATACCAGTTATTTTGTTAATTCCTTTGCTCATGTTACTGAAGTTTTATATAAACTTTTCCTCTTGATAATTTAAACATTGTTTGATGCTTGTGATTGGCTGTACCTATTTAAATGCTTTTTTAGTGAACAAACTTGATACAATTCTTGTCATCTTATCTGGCCTATTAGAATAAGAGATTAAGAGGTACTCCCTCCGTCCGAAAATACTTTTCATCAAAATGGATAAAAAGGGATGTATCTAGAACTAAAATACATCTAGATACATCCCCTTTTATTCATTTTGATGACGAGTATTTCCGGACGGAGGGAGTATAGTTGAATTTGTGGTGACTAGTTGTCAAAGTACCACTTGCAAACTATTAAGCATAACAGTGTAGCTTTACAGTTTAATTATACAGATTCCATATCAGAAATATTATACTTATCCATGAAGGTTATCTTCCTTGCAAGTTGATACATAATCCCTCTGTAACTTGTTTCTATAGAACTTATGGCTAGTAATTTATGTTTAAGTATTCAAGATCTGTCCTTACATTCTTCTTTTCAGGATGCTAGTTCATTGCGTGGTTCCTTTGGCGAAACAAATCAAAGTGAATTGGCTGCATTCACGTCATATGCACTGGCATTTCCAAACTCCTTCCTGGCCCTGGTGGACACATACGATGTTAGTTAATCTTGCTCTGCATTAGTGTACTCGCTTTCTATGGCATGGCCTACATATTCATCTGTTCAATAGTTTTTTTAAGCTGACTAACTTTGTCGATGCAGTAATAATTCATTATTACTTAAAACATGTTTTCTGTGACATGCTTAAACTGACTTGTTTCTGTATGTTCCTTCTTTTATGGTTATGGATTAAAATATGTATATCTAGCCCATATATGTTGAATCTTCTCTTCATGTAACTGTTTTAAATTATTATCCAAGCCAAATTTAAAATGTGCTACTGTAGGGGCCTCCCCTACAATTTTCCTTTTCTTTTAAAATGTGTCCCCTTGACTTTAACAATTATACTCTAGTTATTTCAGGACTGACCTTGACAGAACTAATGCATTAACTCAGGTTATATATGAGCACGGTTGATGTTTAAGTATGTATCGTTGCTAGGTCATGAGAAGCGGAGTGCCAAACTTCTGCGCTGTTGCTTTAGCCCTCAATGATATGGGGTACTATTGCCTCACCACTTCTTTGTATTTTAATATTTTCTTCTTATTCGCCCAACTTGCTTCTGTTACATGTGAAGTTATAGCTGATGATAACACAAAATAAAATGAAGTTTTCTCCTGGGTGTGTTTCCTTGCTAATACTTTTCAGATACTTAATAGTTTCTACATGCGTATAGTTTGTTTATTTTGAGTTTTTCTTCCATTATACATAAAAGTTGCATGTTTGAATTCATAGGCATGGACTAGCTTTATTTTTCATACCTAATGGGTCACTGATGCCTAATTTGTTGAACCCAGACCTCACAGCGTAGACATTTGATACCAACCATGCGCCCTTGTTGTGATATGTAACAGTAATTATTATCAAGTCTCTCCTGTATTTTGAACAATCATCTTGAGCATAAGCAGAAACACGAACTGATTATACTGGCTCATCCCTTTGCTTTAGAAATTTAGGTTTCTTGATTGCATTTTTTGGTTACTTTAGGAATTTAATTACATCCCTTGCTGAACTTTAGGAGTAAGATCTGCCCGCAACATGTTAGCTGCTGTTTGAACAACAAATGATTTAAAAGAAGGGATGGATTTAGTTGATAGGTCTGGCTAGTGCCTATATTCAATTTCCTTATCACACTTACATATTTGAGCTGAAATTTGAATCTATTGTTGATTCATAAACCTTAGTTGTTAAGCATTAATGAAAACTTTCCGTTTCAGGTATAAGGCAGTTGGAATTAGGTTAGACTCTGGTGATTTAGCATATCTGTCTATCGAGACACGCAAGTTCTTCTGTGCAATTGAAAAAGAATTTGGGGTTGTTGGCTTTGGAAAAACAAATATTACAGCAAGCAATGATCTCAATGAAGAAACAATTGATGCATTGAACAAGCAGGTAAGCTGTACTCTAGAAGTCCAGATAGTTTGCTGCATACCACACCTTTCGAGCTATTATTAAGTTTGTACTTGTTAATGAAAGTTTTTCAACAATTTTACATTCAGATGGTTGCTACTTGTTAATGGTTTTGGTCATTTGGTGGTTTTACAACAGTCTTCGTTAGTTTTAATTAAGATTAACCGTGATAGTGAGTAAAAAGTATGCCCAGAATTGTAAAACTAATTTAGATAAATATTAAGAGTAAACTTACCCAGCTGGTCCTGGCAATTGACAACTTACTACAAAGTTTAAGGTTTGCTTCAAAATACTTGGTATCAGTCTATCATCTGCTGAATGAAACTTTTGCTGTATTGAAATCCAGCGCTTAACATGCCTGTGAATTTGATGGATATGCATCTGCTCTGCTCAAAGACATCTGTTTTTGTGCCTTCACCACGGTCGATGGCTTGGTGAATGACTATTGACTTTTTGTGTAGGGTCATGAGGTAGACTCATTTGGCATTGGCACCTACCTAGTTACCTGCTATGCACAAGCAGCACTTGGTTGTGTATTCAAGTTAGTTGAAATTAACAAACAGCCTCGTATTAAACTCTCCGAAGATGTCACAAAGGTATATATGTTAGTACTAGTATTCAAAGTGAAAAGATATAGCTTTAGCAACCTCTGGTGTACCAGAATGACTAATTTGTAGGTCTATGCTCCAGGTATCGATACCATGTAAAAAACGATGCTACAGATTGTATGGAAAAGAAGGTTATCCTTTAGTTGATATAATGACCGGACAAGACGAGCCAAGCCCAAAGGTAAACAGTATTCATGTTACGCTTGAGCAGTAAGCCTGCATCAAATAATGTGTCTCTGCTACCAAGCATTTACTTATAATTAGTTAGCAGATATTTATATGTTTGTGGGCTTGATCATTATTGCATTCCTTGATAGGTTGGTGAGAGGATTCTGTGTCGTCACCCTTTCATTGAGTCAAAGAGAGCTCATGTTGTTCCACAGCATGTCGAGGAGTTGTTGAAGTGCTACTGGCCTGGAAATTCATGTATGTGTATCCACTCGAGTACCTTCTACTGTTCTACATATCTCAGTACTGAATCTGGTCCATCTGAATGTATGCGTCATAAATCATAACTTGTGTGTCTCAAGTTGAAAAGGACATTGATGCCAATCTGTATCCTCTTGTCAATGCCGTAGCCGTACAAAGGGAGGAGCTGCCATCCCTCAATGAGAACAGGAGTCGGTGCATGCGTCAGCTGGAACGGATGAGGCCGGACCATCTGAGGAAGTTAAATCCAACACCATACAAGGTTCGGTCAATTACTATTAAGCTTGATGTCACTTATCTGATCCCCTTGCATCTCAATCTCACCACGCACATGCGCTCTGCGCGCCTCTTGATCAGGTGAGCGTGAGCGCCCAGCTCTACGATTTCATCCATTTCCTGTGGCTCAACGAAGCTCCAGTCGGCGAACTTCAATGAAGAAAGATGACAACGGGAGCATCCAGCACCGGATCGAATCCCCATAGCCTGTTTTTTCTTTCAAGAATAACGCATGTGTATCTTCCACGATACACTGGAAGGTGTTCATGTCGAAAGGACACGGCCTCAACATATATAGTGCTCATGTGCTCAACAAGCATCACACCAGTGTATGCACTATCGACTTAACAGAGTACCATGCTGTTGTGCTTTGAAAAAAAAATAATCTCTTGCAAGGATATGAAAAAAATAATGGTGAGAAGCTGAGGTAAAATATGGAAACTATCTTTGCCTCACTTTCTATGAACTGCACTCTGGTATACATTGTGTTAGGGACTTGGGGTGTCTTTGATTCACATGATTCTAAAATGTATAAATAGGAAAAAAACATAGAATTGAGATGCCATGCCATGTTAAATCCTACTTCCTCCGTCCGGAAATACTTGTCATCAAAATGGATGAAAATGAATGTATCTAGAACTAAAATACATCTAGATACATCTATTTCAATGACAAGTATTTCCGGACGGAGGGAGTACATGAATTTGTACTACTGAGTTGTTTGATTATATTCATAGGAAAAATGTAGGAGATTTTCTGAAGGATTAGGTGCATGCCATAGTTGTTATGTACTCCTACTCCCTCCGTTTGAAAATAACTGGCGTCGTTTTAGTTCAAATTAACGAAGGAATAGAAACGAAGGAAAATAACCATGAGGTTGGACTCCGATGGAAATTTTTCTTTGAAATTGTATGCAAACTAAACTATAGGGAAGATTCATATGGTTTTCATTCCTAAACCAAATTTATAGAGAAATTCCTACGTAATGGAATCTTCTAAATTCCTCTGTTTTTTTTAAACCAAAGAGGTCTTTATCTTGTGTATAAGTGGCGTGGACTTAAATTAGATTTGTTTCCTCGTACGTACGAGTACTCAGCTTCACATATGAATCGGATTCGGAGCTCCTAAGTCCTAACAGAGTCGGATTCGCCTCTCCGGGAGTCCATATATGGTGGACGCTGCCTGCCCCATGGACACACCGCAACGTACGTACACATGTTTAGTTTCGATCCCATGGCGGCCGGCGGAAGGAGCGGCGGCGGCAGCGCGGTGGATGCGGCGGAGAGGCTTCACAGGCTCGCCGAGCAGCGCTTCCTCGTCGGCGACGTGGCCGGGGCGCTCCGGGCGGCGCGGGAGGCCCAGGCGCGCTGCCGGTCGCTCCCGGGGCTCGCGCACGCCCTCGCCGCCTACGAGGTCCACGCCGCCGCGGCCGCCTCCCGCGCCAGCGGCAGGAACTGGTACGCCGTCCTCAG